ATGTATGTATGTATGTATGTATGTATGTATTTATGTATGTATGTATGTATGTATGTATGTATGTATGTATGTATGTATGTATGTATGTATGTATGTATGTATGTATGTATGTATGTATGTATGTATGTATGTATGCGAATACAAATATTAATAGATTTGATTCGTTTATTATTCAAATTATTCGAATATTATAATTTATAAATAAATTTATATATATTCTAATATATTAAATATTTGTGTACATATAAATTTATATATATTCGAATATTATAATTTATAAATAAATTTATATATATTCTAACATATTTTTACTACATTTTAATTTTTACTACATTTTACATTATTATAAAATACTCCGTAATAATTTAATGTCTTCAAGAAATTTGTTTTAAGAAAAAAATTACCAATATTTTCAAATTCGAATATTCGAATACGAATTCAAATATGTCAAATATCTATCGAATCGAATACGAATGTTTTTTAAAATTCGAATTATATACGAATCCGAATTCGAATACATATCACTTTAATTGAATACGAATTGGATAGTGATATATTTGCTTCAATTCGATTCGTATACACCCCTATATGTAGGTATGTATGTAGGTATGTATGTATGTATGTATCACGCACATTTTCTTCAGTAGTTACTAGAAAGAGGAAAGGCACGGCCGGGAAACATAGCTATGAAGTCCAGAAAAGAAGAGAATGCATTTGTAGTGTAACTGTTTTTAATTGCTGGCATATATTGAGGATCATGCTTCAAGGCTTATGCCCTGCCTCGATCCCCATTTGCAAATTGCAACCATCTAATGAGATCTAGAAAATATAACCCATCAACATCACCACATGAACTGTCTTTCTATGCAAATTCTTGAATACATCAACCATAAAGTTCTCAAATGTTTTCTTTTTTGTAGTTTTATTTGTTTAAGGGCAGGCAACTAATGAAATATTCCCTGCTTGTTGATCACTTCTTGCAGCTGCAAGGGCAATTGAGCATTTGAATTTCTCTCCTGTGAATAATAAGGCGATTAGGATCATGTATTCTCATCGTGACCCTAGTCTCCGTAAAAGTGGATCTGGAAATATATTTATAAAGGTATTTACTAACAATGTACCTTTTAATTTCCATATACATGTGTTGTAATCGTATTCTTTGTGATTTGTGTATGTTAGCGTTGTCTGGATGATGCTGACCATTTGAATTCTGTATTAATTTTGCTCCTATGCTTTCTTGCAGAATTTGGACAGATCAATTGACAACAAAGCCTTGTGTGAAACATTCTCCAGTTTTGGCAATATTCTTTCATGCAAAATTGCTACTGATCCTAGTGGCCAGTCTATAGGCTATGGTTTTGTACAATTTAGCACCGAGGAAGCAGCTCAAAATGCTATTGACAAGTTAAATGGAATGTTAATGAATGACAAACAGGTATATGTTGGGCCTTTTCATCGTAGGCAAGAAAGAGAGCCGGCAACAAAGGTAAAATTCAACAACATTTATGTCAAGAACCTATCTGAATCTACTACAGATGAGGATCTCAAGAAAATATTTGGTGAATTTGGCGGTATCACTAGTGCTGTAGTGATGAGAGATGCGGATGGAAACTCCAAGTGCTTTGGGTTTGTTAATTTTGAGAATACTGATGATGCTGCTAAGGCTGTCGAAGCTTTAAATGGAAGAAAATTTGATGATAAAGAGTGGTATGTTGGAAAAGCTCAGAAAAAATCTGAAAGAGAGCAAGAGCTAAAAAGTAAGTTTGAGCAGAGTACAAAGGAAACTGTGGACAAACACCAAGGATTAAATTTATATGTCAAGAATTTGGATGATAGTATAGATGATGACAAGCTAAGGGAAATGTTTGCAGAGTTTGGTACAATTAGATCTTGCAAGGTATGTTGCAATCAACAGTAAGTTCTGCCGAGTTACTTTTGTGCTACTTGAATTGGGGTATAGCATTTCAGTATTTGTTCCCGGTTTCAGGTTATGCGCTATCCAAGTGGAATTAGCAAAGGGTCAGGATTTGTATCATTCTCAACTCCTGAAGAAGCTTCTAGAGCTGTATGTTCCTAGTATTTTTTATGTGGTAGTATTTGTTTAGCATATCTTCATGGTAGAGAGCTTGATCTGATTCATGCATTTTGATTATTATAGCTTTCTGATTTGAATGGGAAAATGGTGGTGTCCAAACCACTCTATGTTGCTCTTGCTCAACGAAAAGATGAGAGGCGAGCAAGATTGCAGGTATTTTTTTTAAAATTCATTTGTATACAATTTGCAATACCTGTTCTTCACCACATATATGCTCTAGCTACTTGCGTTCTTGATTAATATTGGTTTTAGAAAATGACTGTTAGGACGTCTGTACTTTTCATTAACAGAGCTGATGCATATGCTTGCAGGCACAGTATTCCCAGATACAACCAGTCACCATTGCACCTTCTCTTGGACATCGCATGCCCGTGTACCCAGCTGGTGCACCTGGAATTGGTCAGCAGGTTTTTTACGGGCAAGCTCCGCCTCCTATGTTTTCTCAGGTACTTGTTTCGTTTTCCTTGAATTTGGTCCAGTGTGTTTGGCAAACAGATTTTTGTAGAGCAAATAGCTGTTTCAGAACTGTTAGAGGCTTGACCAGCTTAAAAAGTTTCATTTATATATTTGGTGAACATGTAATTCAAAAAGCTCAACCCCCACATTTCTGGAAGATCTTGTAGTTTTTTTCTCTACAAAATGACTAAATTTTGAAAATGTGGTTCCACCAAAAGCTATTCCACTTTGTCATTTTCTCTCTTATAAATTCTCCCATGGTTTTAGTAAATATTGACTGTTATTTGTTCTATTTGTCACGTCTGTCATATCTATCAATGTATAGGGTGTTGTTCTAGTATCACACCTTGCTTACAATTGCTCTGCAAACTTGATTTATTAGGCTGGATTTGGCTATCAGCAGCCGATCGTGCCTGGTATGCGTCCTGGAAGTGGTCCCATGCCAAATTTCTTTATGCCATTAGTGCAGCAGCAGCAGGGTCAACAAGGGCAGCGTCAAGGTGGCAGGCGTGGAGCGGGGCCCGTCCAACAAGCTCAACAGCACATGCCAATGATGCAGCAACAGGTAAGCAATCTTTGAGCACCTTAATGTCTCTATTTTATTGTCTCATTTCATCTTCTGCCAAGGAGGGAGAATTAACCAGTCTCTCTTTGGTGGGTTGGCGAAAAAGATGCATCATCCCAGGGGAAGGATGTATCGTTTCCAGCACGGCCGCAATGTGCCCGAGGTTCCGGCTGGTGGTGTAGCTGGAGGCATGTTCTCCGTTCCATATGAAATGGGTAGTGGGGCCGTGCTTCCCCGGCAAGCTGTGCCAATTGATGCTCTCACAAGTGCCCTTGCCAACGCGCCACCTGATCAACAGAGGAATGTAAGTATCCTGATCTATTTTGTTTATTTACTCTGATAAAAGTTAATGTGATTTTTACATTGTGACAGATGTTGGGTGAAAGTCTATTCCCACTGGTGAATCAGTTGGAGCCAGGGCAGGCCTCAAAAGTGACAGGCATGTTGCTGGAGATGGACCAGACAGAGGTTCTCCATCTGCTTGAATCCCCTGATGCTTTGAAGGCCAAAGTTGCTGAGGCTATTGAGGTTTTGAGGAATACCGCTCATCATCCGGCAAACAGTAACCCTGCCGACCATTTCTCTTCCCTCTCCCTCTCTGAAAACCACATTTCCTCCTAGGCGGTTTATCGTCGGTCAGCACCTTGTCAACATCTCTCTTTCACACTTACATTGGATTGTTTGGTATTACTGATTTTTTTTTTTGGCATTTTTTGTTGGGAATTTTGAATGAGATTTTCGAGCATCTTTTTACCAAATTGCTGATACTATAATGTTTTGACAACATCTAGTTTTGAGTAAAGTGCTTGGGTAGAACTTGATGTGGTGTTTTGGTGGATGGAGGGGAAAGTTGTGAAATAACCGGGAATCGTTTTAACAACTCCCTCGGGTTGTTTTATTGCTGTGTTTGTTTTTAAGAAAATAAGATGGTGGATTAAATACAGTGAAAAAAAGAACCTATTCTTGAGATGTTTAGAGGTGGGGACTTAGAAATATTTTGGGTATATTCTTAAAAAATTTGTGGGTTCTCATGTTTTTTTAAAGCAATGAATAACTTTATTACACTGTGAAAGCTGTTTATCGTATTTTCTCAATTTGTCTGGGCACTGACAAATTATTGTCTCGATTGGGATTCGAGAATGGGGTTTGCCGTTTGGGAGAGTCGCGGTCTTTGGTATTATGTTTGTCCTCGCATTTTGCCTGCTTGTTTTTTGTATTACATATCTCTCCATTCCAAATTAAATTATTTGTTAGCGGTTTATAGTGTAAAATTTTATTCATTTTTTTTATTTTCATTACTCTCTTGATAAAAATAATACAAGACTATATTCATGTCACCTTTTTGTTGTGTAGTTATTTTAATGTAATTTTTTAACATATAAATGTTACTTTTAGGTGTTGTATTCAATTAAGATTTTGATGATTTTTTTTTGTATTTTAAAAGTCAGTAGGTATTCAATTGAGATTTTTTAAAAAATCTAATGGTATTAAAAAGTGTTAGATTCTTAAGGATTTTTATAAAAGGTATTCAAAATATGGTGTACCCAATTTCGGATTTTTTGAGACCAACTCTTGGCAATCGAAGGTCAACTCTTGCGATGTTACTGTTCATCGTCGACATTGGAGTTCCGATTCACAACGTTTTAAGCCAATTTGAAGGTCAATCTTTTGGATTATGGAGCGTTTTTGTTTGCCCTAACCAGTGTTAGGTATTTAGGTGGATTTCAATTCCATGTGATTATCTTATGATTTGAGAATGCTTTGGGATTCTTGGTTACTATTAAAACCACGAACTGCCAGTGGTATGCACCACTTCTTCGAAAGAATTTTGCCCTATTAGTGTGTGCTATTCTTTGTCATTTTTGGAGCTATTCTTGTATTATTTTGTTCATGCTTGGGTTTGATTCATATAGAATGATTGAGTAGTCGTGTAGTTGAAAATTGAACGGGGAGAAAGTTAAAAAAAATCCTATAATCAATGGATTATAAACAATTTGAGGGAATCTTATAAAATCCTTCTGAAAAATCATATTAACTCTATATAGATTTGAAACAGTCACTGGATTTCACAAATCTATGAATTCTAAAAAATCTGTGAAAATCTTTAAAAATCTAAATTGAATACTTAGAGAGTTCACTTTAAAAATCTAGTTTTCATGGGACAGAGAGTTTTAGAGTATGTTCTTAAAAATTTTAGAGTATGTTCTTAAAAATTTTAATTCTTAATTTTCATAGTTCTAGTTGCTTTAAGTTTTTTTTATAGTTTTGTCTAATTATTATTATTTTCAAACTCTTTTGTTATCCAAATATTTTTTAAAAAGGGATGTATGTTTCATATGATTATTGTCATTATTATTGTTATTACTATTAATACTATTATTATAAGTATTATCTTCATCATTATCATATTCATTATTATAGTTTATAAATTGTTTCATTTTTTATTTTTCTCATGTCACCATTTTCTCTCTACCCAATGCGATATAGAGACTAGAGCATTCACAATGACAAATAAAGAAATGGAATGCCACACGCCGATGAGGCATAATTCAATCGATTAGAAATTGCACTATTATTTTTTAAATTTTTAACCTAATTTAAAAAATAAAAAATAGAGCGTGGCAGCATTGAGGCTACCTCACTTACCGTGGAAGAACGCACAAAGAACGCGAGACAGTACCTAATGTGGTGCGAGACAGATACTATGTGACAGCGTGCCGGCTATAATGACATGCGGTTGCCATTGCTCTTAATAAATTATGAAAAATGGAGTAATTCAACGATTGCCAGATTTTGGAAAGAGATGTTTAGATATTCAAGCTGCCTTTTCCAAAGAAAAACAAAGTTTCTCATCACTCCCTCCATTTCTAAAACTCTTTCTCTTTCATTTTTTTGTTTTTATTAAAACACTTTCTTTTTCTATTAAAAAACCACTTTTATTTCTACTTTTTCGTACTCTACCTATCAGATCATACTTTTTCACTAATAACTAAACTATCACATCAGAGGCAAAATTGAAAAGTCAACTAAAATTACACTTTCCTTATTTTGCCCTAAAGTCAAAACAAAACCGTCTTAAGAAACGGAGAGAGTGGTTAATTTTTCTACTCATAAATACGAATTACTAGCTCCAGTGTTTGCTCAGTTTTGATTTTTTCGGTAAATCATTTTTCAGTTTTTGACTCATAATTAAATAAAATATATATTGTATATTAAATTATTAATTGGATAAAATAATATTTTAAAAATATTTTATATAATAAATTTTATAAAATTATTTTTGTATCAATATTTAATATTATTTTTATTTTATATAAAATCAAAATTTACCTATTTTGACCAAAAATCCACATATAGAATTTTCCAGGGAGGCAAGAGCAAAAAAGTACCGTAAACTCGTGGTGAATTAGAAGCAGTAAAATAAACTTCTAGCGGCAAAAAAAGTCAATCGCATCAGTGCAGTACAAACAATCAAATTAGGAATACACAAGAATCTATATTCAGTATGCGTTTGGTTGACTACTTATCATTGTTTTTTTGTTACTCCATCCTCTCACCAAAACTCCCTCCTTCCAAAATTAAGCTCACAATTTTATTTAACATAAAGTTTAAATAAAATGAAAATAAACAATTAAAAGTGGCACATAAAAGAAAGAAAATATTATTAACAATTTAAAATTTTCCATAAAAGAAATGAAGAGATTTTTTTTGAGACGTTTAGAAAAAGAAATGAATTCTCTTTTATCTTTTGGGAGCGTGAAAGAAGTATTGTAGGAGTATATTTTTTCTTTTCATTTACTCCTTTGTTTGCATGAGATCCTTCCGTGTTTGATTTTCACAAAATTTTTAAAAAAATTATACGAAAATAAAAAAGAAGAATTTATCTACTCCGTATATAATACTAAAATATAGTTTGTTTTCCAATGTAGTGACATATATTTTAATTTCCCTATATAGTATAACTGAATATTGTTCAAGTACTATTCAGAGAATAAAAAAGTTTTAGGTACTACATTTGAGAAAAATATATGTTTTAGAACTATTTAATGCAAATTTCACAATTAAAAAAAAACATATGAGTAGTTAAAATCCAAACTTTGCAGAACTAAAACACGACACTCAACTGTAATTTTAAGTCAAAAATATGAAACCAAACTTAAATTCAAAGAACGAAGTCTACATTGTTCACTCATAACGTGTGATAGTATGGCCATTGGAATAATATAGGAAGTCCAATTTATTATTTGTTTTCACTTTTTTCACCTAATGCATTTATTAAGATAAATATTTGGTTATTTGAATTGTAACCCTAATATGATTGTTGTGTTGGCACCACAAAGTTGAATTGAAATTGAACACTGGCGGAGGAAGACAAACAACACCCCATTATTCATTCTTTTCACCCCTTCACTTTACTTTCTTTTCCCCTTTCACACTTCACTTTCCCCCCCATTTGAATGCTCAAAATAGTGCCCTAATTTGTAAAAAAAATCACTTTTTTCTGTTCTCAAAGACACACTATAATGTCTATGAAATTATATCTTGGACATCATTTTGAGACCCTTTTTTCCCCTTCCCATTTTGCTCTCTCCCTATGGAAAAATAATGATGCAGGGTTTATTTTTATTTAATGTGATTAATTATTACAAGTAAAATTATACGTTTGATTTTCAAGATTATTACTCGTACTACTTTTCTCTTTAACCCACCCAAAGTTCAGACTCAGACCTGTCTCATTACATCTCTGTCTAGTTTTTCTTCTCTCTATTTCTTTCTTGATTTTTCCTCACCCACCACATCTCACCACCAATTCATTTCTTTCTCATGTCATCTCAAAACCCCTCTTTCTCTCTGCTCTCCTCTCTTTAAGCGGTGAGTTTTATACATTTTCTTGGGGGTCTTGGATGCCCAATTGAACCAGTTTCTCATATTTATGTATGTTTGTGTAGAGGTAGAGGTGAGATTGAATGATGGGTATTATCAAGATTGAATCTTTTTAACTTTTTTCTTGACGTTTCAGGATTTGGTGCTAGAGACTTAGATCTGTGTTTTGCTTTGAAGATATTTTGCTGGTAAATTCCTAGATTCCTTCACCCTTCTCTATGTTTATCTATGTTCACACCATTACAGTTTTCTTTTTGTACTTTTATGCCATTTTAGTATTATTCTCTTTTTTTGAGTTTATCCATTACAGGAGCCATTTTGAATTTACTTGGAACGGATCCAGGCTGATTTTTTTTGTCAAACTTGAACAAATTGACTTTATGTGATAGATTGTTGCAACTTGCAAGTGGTTCTATTTTCTTTTCATCTTCTTTATGACTACGGTTTTGAGCTGATTGTGTGATGTCATGCTCCAGCCTCCTGACAGATTTTCTGTGTCCAGATATCAGATTTTTCAGGCTTGTGATGGTTCTGAATACCTTAAATTGTGGGTTAAATGAAAAAAACATTTTTTTAATTTCTGGAGATCAAAATTGCATTTTCACTATATTTTGTTTTTTTAACTGTGGTACTCTGTCACTCTGCGTATTCATCTCTTATCAAGTAGTATGTTTTTTTAAACAAAGTTCATTTTTTTGTTGATTCCTTCTAATCTCATGTTTCTTGGTGCTGCAATAAGTTCTTATGTTCTTTGATTCTTTAAATCCGAAACCCTGGATTAAGCATTTCAGGTCTACTCAAGGAAGAAAAGATAGCATATATTTTCCTCATAGTGTAATAATCTTTGGAACAACCTATTATAGCTCTAATGCAAGGAAAGAGAAGTGCAATCGGTTCTTTACCCGAAACTGTAGACTTCTCGCACGCCCCTTCTACCGGTGGTGATGCTTTAGGTCAGCCAGTGTGTTGGAATAATCTGAGAAATTCTGCCCAAAACCCAATGCCGGATTTCGTTGTAAATCCCAATGACTCATATATCAATCCTACCTCTAATCAAGAGAGGCAGAACTTGATCTCCTGGAGTTTAGGAGAAAGCAGTTCATCATTACAATCATCTTTAATTAGTTCTTCCAATGTGCTTTCCATGAGTAACTTTGATGTGAATCTTAGTAGCAATCCGAATTCAAATTCTGGAATTAGTGGCATTAACTCAGACGATGACGACGACTGTCAACTACTAGAGTTCATATCTACCTTTGAGCCCGAAATTCCACCCAATGGACGAATGCCACCTGTCAGTAGCTGTTCTTCAGGTCCTTTGCCGGAGCAGAACAGCAGGCGGTCAGCACGTTTGACCAGCGGTCAGCGGTTGTCACGTAAGAGGAAAGCAGTCGAAGGTGATCCTGGTCAATCTTCTGGGAGTGGAAGCTCGGGTAGTTACTTTCAACCTCTTGAGAGTCATGTTTGGCAGCAACACAATGTTTCAAGCAGTTCCAGTATTCCTTCTCCCTTGCCAAACAGTCATGGTGTTAACTTGGTTGATCAGATGAACCCTAGACTCGGACTGAGCATCGGGTTGAGGGAAACTTCTAGAAGGAATCTCCGTCTGAGGATGAACGTTGCGAACCAGTTGTCTTCTGTACCCCGTAGCATGCCCCCACCAGTAGAATACGGCTATGGGAGCGCCTCTGCTGCTGTTTCTGCATATATGAATGCAACTCGTCGTCGCGGGCAACCTTTGGTGGGGCCCACCCCTACTCTTCCCCGGCATGTGGAGTCTACCTCTAGGGGTGGCGAATCAACTCACCCCGTGCTTACACCAGGTGGACCAAATTTCGGGGCCCACTTGGAAGAATCACCTACTTTGGCGCGAAACCGTGTTGTTCCCCAACTTCCTACACATCTGTCAGAATTCGTAAGAAGATCATTGCCGGCCCCACTTAGAGCCGATCCTTCACACACCCCTCCTATTGGCCAGAGCTTTCCGGAGGTTCCCAGGTCAGCAATGGTGTTGGAGAGACCGGTTGACGTTTCATCATCAGTCCCTACTTCTTGGAGGGCTTTCGCTGCTGCTGGCGAGGGAAGAAGAAGCAGGCTTATCTCTGGGGTATGCACTATTTTCTTTATTTCTAGATCCAAATATTCCAAACGAGCCCTTAAGTCTCTCAAGTTTTTACCCATTATCTGCAGACTTGATCTCATGTCAATCTTTTTGCTGCTAAGCTGATTGTTATTTTTTCTTTTGAACAGATTCACAATGTTTTAGAACTTATGCGCCGTGGGGAAGGCTTACGGGTTGAGGTTAGTTTTGCGCGTACCATTACCCTAACTGTACATTAGTATGATATTGTCTGCATCGGGCTAAACCCTCATAAATTCGTTGTTGCACACCTCCCTAAAGCCCTCATACTAAGATAGTTTTATGAAGTCTTACGTTCCACATATTTTATGCGGGACCCACTCTCATATGTAGAATTCCAACAATAATGTGGGTGCAGGACATGATGCTTCTCGATCCGTCGGTCTTTTTTGGGATGGTCGGTGCTCAAGATAGGCACAGGGACATGCGTCTTGATGTCGACAACATGTCATATGAGGTGAGCTGGTGGAAAACCTCGTCACTTAGTTTCGTTACAATTTGCGCATGGACTGATACATTTTGCGATTTCATGTATCTGAAGGAATTACTAGCACTGGAAGAACGTATCGGGAACGTATGTACCGGTTTGAGCGATGAAGCGATTCTGAACAATTTGAAAAGACGAAAATACCCTTGCACAGCATCAGAGGATCTTGTAGAAAGAGAACCGTGCTCTATATGTCAGGTACTACTAATGTATCCAAACAAGACTTTGAATTCTTTCTGGGACGGAGTTAATATTATTAATTAATCGTACTTACAAAAAAAATTTTGCACACCAGGAGGAATATAGTGGCGGAGACACCCTCGGAACACTGGATTGTGGCCACGAGTATCACGCGGAGTGCATCAAACAATGGCTGAAGCAAAAGAATCTTTGCCCAATTTGTAAAACCACGGGACTCTCTACCGCGGCGAGTTGAGCGGTTCATACGTAGCCCTGTCCATAAACGTGACCAAATGTTGCAGTTGTATCTCACTCACTTGAGGAGAAAGAGGGAAAGAAATATTTGTACTTGTAATGTTTTTTTTGTTCAATTTGGTTTTTATGCAATGTAGAAGAACATAGGGGTATTATTATTATTATTATTATTATTAGTCATTCATTTAACCTTCAACTCACATTGTACGAGTAGTGTTCTGTAATCCTCCTTCGAACTTTCCATTTTTATTAGTATTTGAATGTTTATGCTTCTTTCTTACTTTCTGATATTCTTACCAATTTTCTAAGATTCTTTGCATTGATCTCTTCTTGAATACTATGCATTTAATTGTTGATTTTTCTTAAAAATAAAAATGATTAGTTGATCCTAGTGCAAAGCGGTGTGGAGATGTTTAAGGGATCGCGATTTCGAATATCATTGTATGTACAAAAACTTTATCGAGAGACGCATTTATCAATGCCAGGTTTATCCCGCAAAGAGCAGGAAACAAAAAAAGAAGAAAGGAATGAAGAACTCGATCTAGTTATCATGTTCCAATTGTTAATATCGAGCGGCCTCTAGGATATTTTGTTCAAGATTGAAAGTGTTCATATCCCTCTATTCCTTCTTCAAAGGATTAGAGGATAATCACTTTTAACCCCAACGAAGCAGCGTAGAAGTTTCTAGTAGGTGTGACGGCATAAGAGAAGTTTTAGATTAATTTTAATTCTTTACCAAATTTTATTTCATAGCACTCAAATCACAAAAGAATAGACAAAATTCATATTCAAGAAAACTATTTTCAAGATAAAAAATATTTACGGAGAGAGTTATATTTAAATGACCTATACCTCACAAAAACAAACCACAAATTTATTTATTTTGAAAATATACTTCGGAAGTTAAAAGACGGCAAAGATGAAATTAACGGAAGGGTAGAGGGGCGGCAAACCAAATTACACAATTAGGGCGGGAGATTAAGCTTCTAAACAGTGTTATAAAACAGAGGGAAAGGATAACCGGAAAACGCAGCCTTTTTTTTAAAGCTCTGTCGTCTCCATCAAGCGGAACCAATAAATAAATAAATAAATACTCCTTAATAAAGTCCTGAATATTTTATATTTCCATTTCCCGATGATTATCACCAATGGCGGATCCATTCGGAACAAGCCATCGTCGATCTCTCGAACCGGACGACGTGTCTTCGTTCCTCCACAATCTCATCCATGACGGGGGACTGTTCCATCGGACGGCGCCGGAAGTCGACGAATCGGTGCGCCGGAGGAGCGCCGGGGCTTCCGATCGCTTGATCGAGTCATCTCCTCGCCTTAATTTCTCCGATCCTTCTGAATTTTGCAGAACCCGAGCGAGAGAAGGTGCTGTCAACGCGTTCTCTCTGGCCGGAATCGAGGATTATGAAGCCGCCGAATCTTCGAGGAGGACTGATTTTGAGCATCTGAACAAGGTGATCTGTTGCTTGGAGTTGATTCTATCACTTAATTGGAAACGATTTTGATGAATTTTGGTGATTTAGTTTCTCTGTGTATTCGATCTTAAGAAGAAAAAAAAAGCGAAATTTGCCTTGTATTTTTTCAGGATTGTGAAATCTCAGATGGGCCAAGTAATCCGGCTCAGCCGCGTTCCTCGAAGAGATGCAGATCAGCAGAGATCCATAATTTGTCTGAAAAGGTTTGATTTTGCTTAAATTTCTGTTTTATTTTTGTAATTTTAAGCGTGTGATATCTAAATTACAAGTGATTAACCCCTTTGCGCAGAGGAGAAGGAGCCGGATAAATGAGAAACTGAAAGCGTTACAGACCTTGATTCCGAATTCTAACAAAGTATATATTTTCAGGCTCAATTCTTCTTTTTTTAATTAGATTTTCCCATCTCTTATTGTTCTTCTTCTTCTTAGTTTTGAATTGGTTAGTCTTGTATGATAGACAGACAAGGCATCAATGCTGGATGAAGCTATTGAATATTTGAAGCAGCTTCAATTGCAAGTGCAGGTATTATTAGTACTGCTACTTTTTTTTTGTATCATTCATTACTCATTACCACTGTTATTATAGAAAGCGTTTGCTTACTATAATAGGGACTACATGTTTCGAAAACTAAAGCCAAACCGGTTCATGGGAGTCCAATTTTGGGCTTGAATATCAAAGTGATCCATTAACGGTTGAGCCCTTACGAAATGTGTTCATTTAACTTAGATGAACGTTTTGATATATTTTGCATCAAAAATTGTGAACATGTGAATTAGAAATTAATACTCAAAGTATATCTGTTGAGATATAAATAATGAATCGAGTAGAATTTTTCCTAAAATGGCAGGGCATGCGATCTTGATCACTATTCTTATTTTCCAGTGGATTAACAGCCATCATTACCAGTTATCATATTTCGATGATTTGATTTTTCAGGTGTTGACCATGCGAAATGGACTGTATCCGGGTTATTTCCCCAACTCTGAGATTGAATTTGGCAAAGGAAATGGAGTGGCTTTTTCAGGAAACCAAGAAATGTTATTTCAGAGTAACTCTCATATTTCTAACCACAATCCCACCACTCAGCAAACTATGCATTCAACCAAGAACGACATGGCCAATCCAGAGAACACCGGGCTTCTGCAAACAACAATTCACAATCCCTATGGACTTCTCAACCAGTTGGCAGCCACTAAGGTAATCAAAACTTGCAGTCGGTGCATAATACGGAATATGTTCAGGTCATCCAACCTATAAAGTCTTGGACTATTCCATGACTTCTATGCCATCAAGGCTCAAACCCTCGACCTCTATGTCAAGGAAACAACTCAAATGTATGGAGACTGATTTTTGCATATATTCTATACACTGCAGGATCTATGTAGGGACAATGCACTATCAAGATTGCATTTGGACACGAGTTGCTCTGGAAACAATTCGTCGTCGGGCATCTCTTCTTAATTAAATACTGGGGAAAATGCTGGTTAGATTAAGCCTTAAGCCAAAATGTTTGAGGTATCTCTTAGTAGTCTTTATTTATCTTGGTTTGGCTCAGGTCACCCGGAAGATCAATCCGCACTACTAAACCTAAAGGAGCAACACCCCAACCCAAAATATTAACACTATCAATAATGTTTCCATATGAATATGTTCGTTTGTATGGCAAACACTGTGGGTTAATGTTGTCGGGGGGGGGGGGGGGNGAGTACTCCTTATCATGTAGTTGGATGTAACAGTTTGATCATGAAAAATGATTTGGATGATGAGATTTTTGGAAAAAAGTGCATAATGTGATTGTAGTAATTGTTAGAACTTTTTTTAATGACTGAACTTTTAAAAATAATACCGAGTGTCATAAAGTACTCCAATAAGGGGATTAAGTCACGCGTAGTTCAGATAAAAAATGGTGAATAAGAAAATGAACTTGTTTCAAAGCAATACTTTCTTAAATTATTTTGACAAGTAGACAGTTGTCAACTATGTCGTCTAAGTTATTTTTTTCTCCTTACTTCAATTTTGATTAAAGACGATGTTTTTCCAACAGAAATTCTTAGGTGAAGATACAAGACTATAATTCGTGGAAGATAGTTTGATTTTTTTTAGCACTAACAACTCTATTACAATGTAATATTTATTTGTATACTTTTTCCGTCCACAAATAAACTTCTCGTTCACTATTTACAGGGTCAAACTTTATTCATTTTGTTGGCCTATTTTCGTTACCCATTTGATAAAATAATATAGTCATGTCATCTCTAGTTTTGTAGAACTTTTGATATAGTTTTTTAATAGGTAATTTTTATTTTAAAATTTCACACCATTTTTCATGTAAAATGATTTAAAAATAACTTCAGTCAAACATCGTAACGCGCTACGGGAAATTTATTTATGGACGAAAGGAGTATATTTTATCAACTTATCTAACTAGTAACCACATACAATGTCTTCCTCCGCTAGGGTTCGAACTCGTAACCTCTCATTTAAGAAAGTCATGCTAGTGTGGCTGGACTACAAGGTCTTTGACATTTTGACCCAGACTTGGAAACCAATCATATACCCCTACCATTTTTAAATGTATAGGGACTAGCAAAGTGAAGTGCATTTTTAGAAGTTTAGAGGAAAACACTCATTTTGTGAAGAATTCAGGGATAAAAATTTGATTTTTTTGATAATTTTTTTCACACTTTTTAAAATTCTTTCAAAATTAAAATCCATGTACTCAAAAAAATCCCCTTTCCAAACAAATTCAAATTATAAGCTTTGAAATTGAGCAATAATTTAATTTTGAGAGTGGTGAAGTAAATTTTTTTTTTAAAAATTCACATTCAGTTGCCATCTTCCATTCCCCTTTCTTCTTAAAGCTTCATCACTGCCAACAACGTTAAATCTATGTACGGATCTTTACATACGAGTGACTAGAACTGTGAAATGGTGGGGTTTCCACCATTTCTTCAATCTCTTCTTATCATCTCAAAAGATTATAAAAGGTTCACTCCTCCTGCTCAGCCACTAAAATTGATCTAGTTCATCATCCTCCGGCTTCCGGGCATGAACCAGTACGGAGTAGCTTAAAATTGTTCCGCATATGTGGGGTTTTCTGAGCGACGAGCTTTCCAAGAAGACGGCTCTGTTCGGGTTGAGGTTATGGGTCGTGCTGGGAATCTATGCCGGAGCCGCAGTTTCTCTTCTTCTCTTCATCGTCTCCCTGTGGCTCATTTCCCGGCGCAATGTGAGAAGAAAGATTGCAGCTTTTCTGCCTCTCACCGCCCCACCCGTCGTTTCCAAGGAAATACTGGAGATTCGGGTCGACCCGCCTGAAAATCGGAAGCTCTCCCTGCGCGACCCGGATTTGGAGCCCGAACCGCTAGGGAAAGATAGCCAGAAACCCGGCGGCAATGGGAAGAATCACAGATGCTCGGAGCGGGTGGGTTCGTGTGGTTGGTCTAGCTACGGGCCGGGCGATCAGGCCGCCCCCGAGGTGTCACATTTGGGGTGGGGCCATTGGTACACTCTCAGAGAGCTCGAAGTATCCACCAATGGATTTTCCCATGAGAATGTGATAGGGGAAGGTGGCTATGGAATCGTCTACCATGGAGTTCTTGAAGATGAAACTATGGTTGCTGTCAAGAATTTGCTGAATAACAGGTGCCCATCTAATCAGTCATGCTTTTATAGGCTAAAAATGACATTTTGTAATGTTAATTTGTGAATTACAGTTCCCACTTTTGTTGAACTGGTGTTATTATGGACCAAAAAGTGACATCTAATGCGTTCTTGACTTACAAGATTGCAGTAACATCTAACAAAAGAAGGAAAAGAAACCGAGTTGAGTTGGTTGCTATTTATTTATGTGATTTTCAACACAGGGGACAAGCGGAGAAGGAGTTCAAGGTTGAAGTGGAAGCAATCGGGCGAATCAGGCACAAGAATCTGGTGAGGTTGCTCGGTTACTGCGCAGAAGGCGTTCAAAGGTAGTGTCTGTAAACTGCAATATTTAAATGCAGCAGATTTCTAAGGGACTCTTGAAGCTAGGTTTTAACTTGGGACTGGTTTGGTTGTCCAGGATGCTTGTGTATGAATATGTGGACAATGGGAACTTGGAGAAATGGCTTCATGGAGATGTAGGGCCCCACAGCCCTCTTACCTGGGAAATTCGAATGAATATTGTTCTTGGAGTGGCAAAAGGGTATGCTTATATATGTGATGTATACTTCTATTAGATTCACGATTTAACATCGGATTATGCTTCAGTCATACCACGGATGACACCAACCTGGCTGGTGTCTCTATACAATTGTCTGTGTGAATGTCTCTAATTGCGTCAACCTTGGTGTCATCGCTGGAGTTAAAGTATCATTTTCATTTGACATTTGGCACTACTTAGAGCCAGAGGCCTTCGGTTTGCAGGTTGAGCTATCTGCATGATGGGCTTGAGCCGAAAGTGATTCATCGCGACATCAAATCGAGCAATATTTTGCTCGATAAGCAATGGAACCCAAAGCTATCCGACTTTGGTTTGGCAAAACTCTTGTGTTCTGAGAAGAGCTACATCACCACTCAGGTCATGGGAACGTTTGGGTCAGTCATATGAGAACTCATCAACTTCTCAGTTCAATATGTTAATTGGATTGCGAAAAAATTATTTGAAATGCTTGAATAATAAATCTCTTGTTTGGATGCAGCTATGTTGCTCCAGAATATGCAAGCACGGGCATGTTAAACGAGCGGAGTGATGTTTATAGCTTTGGAATCCTTGTCATGGAGATGATTACGGGGAGAAGCCCCATAGATTATAGCCGTCCTTCTGCAGAGGTTTGTCTTAATAAATTCTGCAAAATTTATGGTAGGAATTTATGTCTGTCATAATTATAAGATTCTTAACTGTCTATATATACTTCTACAAGATTAGAAATATTATATACTTCTCAATTCTTGTTTGTCAATGCTTAACAAGATCATGCCTCTCTTTTTCTTGGTTACTACATGAACACATATATGTATATATACATACATACTAGGTGAACCTAGTTGAGTGGGTCAAAAGTATGGTTTCGAACCGCAATGTTGAGGGGATTTGGGACCCCAAGCTAGCAGAGAAACCGTCTTCAAGGGCATTGAAACGTATCCTTTTGGTTGCTCTACGGTGCGTCGACCCCAATGCTCAGAAGAGGCCAAAGATGGCCCACGTATTGCACACGCTTGAAACCGATGATTTTCCTCTCCGTGATGTAAGATTCTTTGCCTAAAACTCTGTATCTTCTATAATACCCTCTCTATTTTCGAGTAGGGTAAGAACTCTCATACACACACCCTCATCACACCATACTTTTTGTGGGATCCTACACCGGAAACACCTATAGCATGGCATCTTGATGCTAAGGTTGTGTTTGGTTGTTGCCTCTTTTATCAGGCATATTTTATTACACCTCTTAGATGAATGACTAGACCCTCCTCCCCCTTCAACTTTGGAAGCATAATTATTCAACATACCAATCATGGAATGAGCTACTTTAATGAGTAGAGATGATTTGTTTACCTTTTACCTTTTAAGGAATAGGTCACATGGACCTTTAAGCAAAAGGTCATAAGATATAGGGTTCTTTTCTTTCTTTCTTTTTTCTTCTTTTAAAGATGTGACTATAACATTCTAGTGTCATTTACTTGAACTAAAAAGTGTTGAACTGAATTGACAAGTTATATGACAATGGATGGTCTCGGGTGCCCGTTTCAGGACAGAAGATCAACGGGAAGAGATCACACGAGATCTCATCACGAGTGCGATAGTCAAGAAGGAGCCATAGTTGAAGAATCATCTGAATCAGATTACCACAAAGGACCATAAGTTATTTGTTTCAATCTAATAAATGAATGAAGCCTCTCAGTTTGGCTGTGGTTCCAATTCTCAGTTTTCATCTTTGTGATTTGCATGTTTAAATATCTTCACTTCATTTCCTTTCGGAAATGCATAAAAATTGTGTGATTCATACTGTTATTTTTTTTTGTCTGCACAAAACTTAAGATTCCATGTGGAAATTACTGTTTTAAAACTCGTTTTCAAAAAGGAAATAAAGCCAAGAACTATTACTTTAAAAAATTGGGAAGAGGAAAGTTATTCATTTATGATTAAAATAATGTCACATTATACTACAAGAAATTGGCGGTACACGGAGTACATATATACTTAGTATATTACAAATATGAACGAAATATCACCGTAATAGGTGCTGGTATGAATATCATATTTATAATAATAACTCTACTTGTAGCAACTCACACCCAACTTCAACCGGGCTGTATTTCCAACCATCAATGGCAATGGTGAGGCGGCACAACCGAGTTTGCCGGAAATTTCCAAATACCCGCCGCCACACACTTACCCGCCCTGAATCATTCATACACCATTGCCATTTTCTGTAAATAAAGAGAGGAAAAGAAAACTTCACCCGGGCATAGTCACTCGTATGAACACGCGCTCTTCAGGGAAATGGGACGGTTGAGCTTGGCGGCATCAAGAACAATAGAGCACTCGATCCTTTTGTTGAACTTGGGCTTCACAAGTTTTCCCAATACGTAAGCTCTTGACTCGACCACAATGTTCAGCTTCAGTGGGACTGGCTGGGTTATTGTTCCCGTCGCGTTGGTGCTCAAACTTGCTCCACTCCCGTACAGTGGAATCTTATTCCCTTCCACAGACACAGCTACTGTCCTCTGGCTCTTTCTTGGTTGATAGAATTTCTTCACCTGGTTTCAACCAATTTTCATAAAATCAATTCTTGTTTTTACAAGGGAAGTGCTATTTCCATGGCTACTATACTAAGAGTCTAAGAGCAGTTAGAAATATCATTATAATGCAGTTAATTTGTGTATGGATGCATTAACAAATTAATCAAGAACATCAAGCCTATTCAGGATCCATTCATAAAGTTCATTCAAGAGATCCACTAACAATGTTCCCACAAATGGATCTTTAATTCACCCATTCTCTTATTTCTTTATCATGCATAAAGATGACTGAACAATGTCATATACTTATAATAGCACAGTAGTTATCAATAAAACAACCATTCGTAAAAGTAGCAAAGAACAAATGGACTGCAAACCATTCAAGGAAAACAAATGGACGGATTGAATCCAGATCGCTGATACTACTCCTTACTGTTTTGTGTAATTGGATGAACTAGATAGCATTCATTTTCAAAGAAATTGATGGATGTGGGCAAAAGAAACATTTCATTCGTACAATATTCACGTTATCTTAACATTTTTCTTTAGTTCCAGAAAACTTTAGCTAATGAGCTACAACTACTAGCTTCGGGTTAACCCGCCTTCTCTCTAGTTAATGATAGATTTTGCAATGATGACAGCAAATGTGTTACACTCCCTTTAATAGTTTTAGCCTTTTGTAATGACATCCCTCGAGTTCGAGTAATTGTTTTCATAATTCAAAGCTGAAATGAAGTTAATTCGTAGACAATAACCAAAGCTGAGGGGCTTACAGTTCCAGAACCAATTCTGATTTCTGAGTAGGAGAGATCAACTGGCGAGGAAGCAGCATGGACGCCGAAAAATGAAGCGGTGTTTCGGTACAGAAACTTCAGAGTTGAATTCATGGAGATCATGTCAGTGCTCACTCCGGTATGGTCTGAACCAGCTTGAATTACAAAGCTCTCGAAAGTGATACTCTGTGAGCAAGCAATTAAGAGAACAGTTAGAATTCCAGATCGGGAGGAATTGATGAAAGGAATATGAATCTGATTTCTCGATTAAGATCGAGCTTACCTTCATGGAGATTTTAGGTTTTTGGGGCTTGCTGGCGCCCCAGAGAATTAGGGCGAACAGGGAGAATAGAACGAAGAAGCCTAGAACAAAGGCCAGGAAATAGTAGCAGCGGCGATGGGATCTGCGAGAGGCGTTCTCTTCGAGAAGCCCTTCCTCCTCGATCGCAGCGAACTCCTTCCACGTCTTCTGCCCCTTCCCGCCGGATCCGGCGTCGTTAGGGTTCACCTTCCTGGAACCGGGCTTGAGGGAGCCGGAGAAGCGGGTGGAGGAGGACTCCCGGGAATGTCGGCCGACGGAGGAGTGGGGAGGAGAGCCGGTGGGGCTGAGGACTGGGGTGGAGTGGAAGGACATGGTAGTCTTCTCCCCATCGTGAGAGTCGCGAGAGGGACTCTGCACGTAGTACACCGGCCGCCGGTTATGGTCCGGCGACGACGGTGCCAAGCTGGTGACCTCCGAATCGGTTTTGGCGTGCATTTTACGCCGGCAACTCTGAGTTAATGAGAGAGAGAGAGAACTTGCCGGAGAGAATAATAACGGGTGGGGATTGGTTGGTTTATTCAAGTGGTTCTTCTACGGTGTTAATAGTATCGCACTAATTATTTTTAGTCACCGACGGGAGCAAGGAATAAAGAAAATACGGTGGTTGTTCTGTCAGACAGCTAACTTCTAGTTGGCTACACTCCCGGTTCTGCACGCGCCTTCTAAAGCTGATCTGATCTGGTCATCCGATCTGATCTGATTTTTTGAAGATTGGTTTTGTATTACCCCTTCATGCACAATAAATATCATAGGGACACTATGGATTCATTAAGGGAGTTAACAATATTCATTTTGTTGATGATCTGATAGTAATTAGTAAAGCCACTAGAATGAGCATTAAAAATAACAAGTATCATATCGTGTTTGGTGGAGTAAGTCAGCAAAAAACAAGAAAACTTGCTTGCAATAACCAAGATTAAGTTATGAAACTTACCTTTACTTAACTCGGAAGCTCTATCACCACTACCAAACTCAAGTCAAGTGATTGTTATACCCTAAAAACCAAAATCACCAGTAGGATTATAACCTAGGGCATAAGACATTTTTCATACAGTGCTAAAGTCGGAATTATAAACTCTGTTCTGATGGGAATCATATCCTTCCCGTCAAAAATATTCATTCCGCCCAAATTGATTATGTAGAAAGTAATGGCTATTTGCAGGAATATCATTTAGGGAAGCTCTCATGATTACCAAAAAAGTGCTTATTGTTAAATTGGGAGGAAGATTGCCAAGCAAAGAGATATGGAGGGCTGGGCATTAAAAATGCATACAAACCAAAGCTAGACTAAAAAAAATGCCTCCCCATGAGTACTGCATGCATTTCTTTATGTGATAGAGGTGAAGAAACTGACCACCATTTGTTTTGGGAGTGTACTTTTGAGCAAGAGCTATGCAAATCCAGTTTCAGTAAGTTTGATGATATTCATCTCCAATTAACTAAACAAGAGGAATTAGAAGATGTATTGCAGAAGACTATGGGGGTGTTTGTTTTTTGTGCAGGAAAAGGTCTGCGGTCTGCGGACCACTACTGTAGACATTTGCAGGAGAAGTGGTGGACCGAAGGTCTGCGGTCTGCAAGAAGAAGACTGTTTGTTTTTTTAATGCCTGTAGACTGCTATATAAATTAATGGTGGTAGTGTACGGTGGTGGTGTATGGACGATTGNGACGGTGATGGTGGACGGTGGTAGTGGTGGACGGTGGCGGTGAACGGTTGTGGTGGTGAAGAGAAGTAGAAAAAAAGGAGAAGATGTTAGAAGACATTGGTTAATGTCTTCTCCAAGAAAATGTTAGGAAGACCTTTTTGAGTGAAATGTCTTCCAAAAAACAAACAATCTGCAGAGCCCATCATCTGCGCGCGTCTGCGCGGCACAGACAAAAGACGCCAGAAGGTCTTCTGGCGGAAAAACAAACACCCCCTAAGAAGTGGAATAGGAAGGCTTAATATTGGCCATTTGGGCAGTGGCTGTCTATAGCATTTGGAGGGTAAGAAACAAAGTAGTTTACCAAAAGAGATGCACAATGAAGGAAGCTCAAAAATTTATTCATTTTTAGATTACTGGCTATCTCATATTTAGAAAAGCAATTTAGAGTTTGATGTGGTTCGTATTGACTTTGTAAATGGTTTATGAGTTGTTGGGTAATCAAAGTTGTGTTTCTGTGCAAAAAAAAATGTGGTTTAACTCAAATATCTTATAGTCCAATCCAGTAATCCATACTCCATCATAAATGTTATCACATAGTCTTGGAATATTATATTTTTATAGTATATATCTATCTATAAATAAAGATAATTAGTCAAGATGTTACTCATGAAAAATCAAATAAAAAAATCTTAATATGACGGAGGGAGTACATCTCATTTTTTAGTCTATCTTTACAAAAACAAGCATCCTATAGGTACACCAAAAAGTGTAAACCTAGTTGTACCTCAAAGAAATACACCGACATTTTAACGGTTTACACTGACACAAAATGTTAGTTCACTTGAAGAAATTTGCAATGACATTTTTTGTTAGTGTAAACCAGCACACTAACATCACATTAGCACAAAATACCGGCGCAACCTTTGTGATACAAGTTTTAGTGTACAAATAGCTTAATCCTTACAAAAACAACCATGCTAGGGGTATACCTAAAACTGTATTCCAAAGAAATCTACTTACATTTTAACGGTTCACATTGGCACAAAATATAAATTCACTTTTAAAAAAATTTGCACTAACATTTTTTGTTAATATAAACCAGCACACTAAAATCACACTAGCATAAAAAGGTATATTTTTTATTTACAAAAAACACGTCCTTCATATGATTTTTGTCTTCTCAACACTATTTTCTACCATATAATATCAAGTTTTTAAATAGTCATGTTAATCGAGCTGAATTTTTTTTAATGAAACCCAAAACATATCTTAGCTTCCCAGCATTGGTGGGGTATTGCACTGTTACCCAAAACATATTGGGCCAACATTAATGGTTATTGATGGATCGATATCGAACCCAACCCAATCCCCCCTCGCCAAAATTAGAATTCGCAAAACTTTGGAGGACGATGGTGCAAAATAGAAGAGGAATCTTCATCCTCGTCTCCCACGGCGGCACGGCCAGAATATCGATCGCCGCGTCCTTAGTTTTCCTCTCTCTACCTTCCTCGATCGGCGATGGCGTTTCTACAGCAGCAGCAGCAGCATTTCCACCCACCAGATCCACAATCCAGAGCTTTCAGGTGATTTCTATTCCATTTCCGTTTCATTTTCTCAAAACCCTAGCTTTACTCTAATTTCTGAATGACATTTTCGATTTCTCTTCCGTTTTCTTGTTTGGGTTTTCATCTTTCAGAGATCTTTATATCCTGGACGGTCAGATTTCCCAGCCTGCGGCGTACTTTAACGGCTCCAATCTTCCCGATCAGTCTCAGCATCCTCCTTATGTTCCTCCTTGTACGGTTCATAACATATCTCGATTCATCTCATTTTTCCAATTCTCTTTTTCAATTTTGATTTGATTGTTTAACTTTGGAGGTTCCATTTCTTGATTTGGGTCACAGTTCAAGTGGCTGGGTTGATGCCTGGTACGGTGGAGGAAAGTGGGCTCGATTTGCAGTGGAATTATGGGCTGGAGCCGAACAAAAAGAGGCCTAAGGAGCAAGATTTTCTGGAGAACAATTCTCAGATATCATCTATAGACTTCTTGCGGCCTCGATCGGTGTCTACTGGGCTCGGCTTGTCCCTTGACAACGGGAGAAAGGACTGTTCCTTTCTGGGACTTTCGGGAGATGACATTGAACGCGAGCTGCAGAGACAGGATGCTGAGATTGATAGGTTCATCAAAGTTCAGGTTCGTTTCTATTCGGTTGACATTGAATGACTTCCGGCTTTCTGTGTGGATTATGATTGGTTTTCTCTTGGCTTATTATGTGCACATTCAGTCTTTTTCTCTTAAATATACATTGCTTTTATAATATCTACTAATTTGAAATCATGTGACTTCCTAATGGAGATTGCAGACAAATTTGCTTTGTTTTAACAGACATAGCTCATGGTCATAATATTGCTTTATCTACTACTTCGTACTATATTTGTCCGTTCATCTTCTTTGCACTTTGATGATATTTAATACTTCCTCCGTCCCGTAAAACTTTTCAACGTTCTCATCTTACATGTCTCATAAAACATTTCAATTTGGCCTAATTGGACACAATTGCCCTTGCATTTCTTATATCTAACCAAAGCTACCCCAACTACCTTCTACGTCCTAACCATTTTGACATTTTCCAAGCCTTGCTCGTTTCAATTGTCTTCGTTTAACCTTGCTCAAACTTCTACGGTTTCTTCTCTCAAAGTCAAAAGAAGAAATGTTTTGTGGGATGGAGGAAGTACTCAAACTAATAGGGATTCTATTGGCATCGTGCATAAAACAAGACATGATTATGCTTTGCATGCTTAGTGTTTCACAATTTTGTTTGCTGTGTTCTGAAAGGGTGATCAGCTGAGGCAAGCTATTTTAGAGAAGGTTCAGGCGAGCCAACTGTATACCGTATCCTACATTGAAGAGAAGGTGATTCAGAAGCTACGTGAAAAAGAGGCCGAGATTGAAAATATAAACAAGAAAAACATGGAGCTTGAGATGCAAATGGAACAACTAGCTCTGGAGGCAAATGCTTGGCAGCAGAGAGCCAGATACAATGAAAACCTGATCAACACACTCAAATACAACCTACAGCAAGTTTATGCTCAACAGAGCAAAGACAGCAAAGAGGGGTGCGGCGACAGCGAGGTGGATGACACCGCATCTTGCTGCAACGCTCGTGCAATCGATTTTCACCTGATCAAAAGGGATTGCAACGACAACGCGAAGAAGCAGATGATGGCTTGTAAGGTTTGTGGAGCCAACCCGGTATGCATGCTACTGCTGCCATGTAAGCATCTCTGCCTGTGTAAAGAATGTGAGAGTAAGAACAGTGTTTGCCCTCTGTGTCAGTCCACTAAGTATATTGGGATTGAGGTTAATATGTAACTGGACAATGAGAATGTGATTTAATGTGTAATGTATATGTCTACTGCCCTTGTTGTTTTCCCTTGCAGTACCACTTTTTATTGTAATTGAACTACCCAAAGTTGCAATACTTTTCTTATTGACTACTAAAACTTCAATCTTGTTGGATAGAACACTTGGCATTGTGTGTTATTATGTTTGCATTCATAGTTGTCTGGTTTTAGTCTTATTCCTTGTTTGGTTGGATGGCTTTTGATGGGAGGGGCGGATTTAGGGCCATGGTATGGGGGATGGGCCCCCAGTGAAATCCAATAACAATTGTTTTTTAATGGACTGATTAACAAGGCGCCCCAGTCCAAAAATAATTGGGCCCTTGTGACCCTTTTGGTTAACTACCCAAGCCCAATTTTTTATTGGCTTCCCCTCGCTAGGTAAGTTTTAATTTTATACGGAGTAATTTTATTTGCATACTCCATAATTTGTCCTAATGGCTAATTGTGTTGTTTCTGATAATGAGTACTCTGTAATTCTATACTCAGAATTCAGATGC